TGGGAATCACACGCAGTGGAATAAAACAAAACATGTACGGATTGTTGGATGGAAAATAAGAAAGAAAAAGAAACAGGTCTGGATCAATGATGGTGATCTATGATTAGATGCTTAGATAGACATAGAGGCTGAACGCGTGGGAGGGAGCGTGGGAGCATACTGAGGAATATATAGAGATTGGATAGAGAGTAGTTGTATGTGTTTATCTTTGCTGTAAATGTATCTGTGAATGGAGTGGAGCATCCATGAGCGAAAGTTAGGAATATTAGACATAACCAACTCCGGAGAGTATACACTTAAGACAGTGCCCTACATCCTACTTTGGTGAGTAGTGACTTGGGCCTTCGGAGCTGGTGAGCAAGGAGATCACTCTTCCTTCCTCTGAACAAAGAGAGGTCTCTATGGTTGCCCTCCTTGTTCAGAGGAAAGAAGAGTGGTGGGAATGGGAGAAATATGGAAAGAATTAGTCCACAGGACTAATTGGACAGGTGAACACCGATTTCCACAGCCTCGAAACCAGAGGAACTAACTAGAGGTGCTTGGCTACCACTACTAAGTGCCCTGTAAAAGATCACATTAGGAGATGATGGAAGAAAAATGTGGAACAGAACTTCAAAATCGTAAGAGACCGGGCTTACTGCTTAGAAAGAGACAGGTCGAACCCCTGAGACTATTGGCTGCAGTCACTCTCCTGGTCTGGAACTGAATCCACCCCGGGGGGTAAAAGAATCAACCATGTAAGATCAAAAGGACATCATTTACCCAGTGTCAAAGTTGAGAGGACTCAGAAAGGAGGGATGGAAACAGGAAGCAGGGGAGAAAGTGGAATAAGTAGTGGTGCATCGAGGGGGTTCAGTGGATAAATTGTCACAAATGTGTGTGGCTTGTGGATTTCCCCCCATCATGACAAATAGACCTGCACAGTCATTGAGGGTAACAAGGACTGCCCTCTTAGGAATTTCATCGGGATACTTTATCTACTTTGTAACCCTGATCATTTTCCTCCAGACTTTTTGTTCCCCAAACTCAAGAACATTGAAAAGGAACACAAGTATCCAACACAAGTGGCCAATATTGCCACTTGAACTTGCAAATCAAAGAGTGGTGAATTCTTTGGAGATTCCTTTGCCTTTAGAAGTGTATAGACCTGGAAGCAGGATGTGTTGAGAAACAATAGCTTTGTGTTTTGATATTTTGTGTAATAAAAGTATGCATGGCTTTCTAGCAGTACTTTACGACTTCTCTTGTAACATGGCCCCTCCTGACAGGCTTGTGCTACAGTTGGAGGTTGTATGACAGTCATCTTTTTGGTAGCTTTGGGAAAGTTGGGTGTTTCCTTGGGATGGAACTTAGTACTTTAAAATTTCCATAAATTCATGTGAAAGGGTACCTTGTAATTTTTGTCCTATATGTCCTTTTTCTTCCCATGTCAGACTTTTTCTATGTGAAGCGCGTGAGCAGTACAGTGTACTCTTATTTTGACAGAGTAAAATTGTGATACTATGATTTTCAGAAAATCTTCTATGAATGATTAAAACGGTTATGTCTGTTAAGTCATTTCTGACTCTTTGACCCTTTGAGACCCTATAAAATAAAAGAACTCACTCACTGCAGTCCATCTCCAGTCATTGCCCCATCTTTTCTCCCAGGGACCTTGTA